GAGTCTCCCCCGCGGCAGCGCTTTCGTGCGGCGCGGGGCTCCGAGGCTCCCCGGCCTGGTGCTTCCCCATGCGTGCACTTTTTTGTTTATTTATTTATGGGTTTTCCTCCCTAAAGACATAGGAGTACCCGAACTTTTTTATGCTTATGAGCCCAGTGGAGACACTTTTGCATTGGGTCCAATAGCTTGTTTAGCCTTAAGCATCAGTAGCCTTTTGCGGCAAGTAAGCCGAAAAGCTCCTTGTTACTGGGCAAAGATCTAGATGCCCATAAAGCAACATTCCCAATCATTCCCGAGCACCATAATCAGGGCTTTTTGTCAACTAAAAAAATTCTTGGTGAATGGAGAGTGTAAGCTGGCTATGTGGAAAATAAGGAAAATGTATTAAAAGTCAACGTTTAAATGCCCGCATATCAACCTTTAATTATGCCCTCCAGAAACACAGCCTCTACCTCACCATATACTTCAATATGCTTTTCTCTGTGTGTTTATGGTTAAAGTGATGACCTGCAAATAAGTGCAAGTCCAACACATTAAGTATGTGGTTCTGTGAAGTACTCTGAGAGCTAAACTTCAGATTCCCTGTCCCTTGTGAGTTCCCTGGGTCACTTGGTTGTTTATTTGGTGTATGTAACTTTGTGGTGTGTACACAGAAGGTGTTTCTGGTTTATATCAGGAGGGTTCGGTGACATCTATCTGATACTAGACGGGTGAATGGGAAGAAGGTCCCATCTCTGGCCTGTGTGCGGAAGCCGGGATGATGAAGGCTCTGCAGTGGGAACGTGCTGTTCCCGGGGTTGAAGCTCCAGCCCGTGTGTGATAGTTGTAGAGCAATTGGAAAGGTTGCGTGCAGAGTTCTGGTAAAGTAAGTGTGAGCTGTGTCACGGTCGCGGCCGTGACTAGGGGTGCATGTTTCCAAACTGCTCTGTGACTGGAACGGGGAATGGGGAGGGGGCTGTGGGTGCTAAGGCAGTAGCTCGGTGGAGGAATCTTACCTCTGTCTTCTCCCTTTGGAAGTTTGGTCTTTCATGAGATTGCATGACAGCTTCAATTCTTAAACCACTTCTCTTCTCTCTCCCCGTTCTTTTAACTTTGTTACACTTCAGTCTTTCAAGCTGATTGTTGAGGCCTGATATCCACTCAAGAATGAAAGCTTTTGGATGGAGAAATGAATTCTAGGAGAGCTTAATGAGAACGGGGTGCTCGTTTTCTGGGAATTAGTGTAAGGCTTTCTTAATGTGCACAGTCTGTAAACTAAGCAAACCGAAGTTAGGCACTTGGTGAATTTCTGCTAGAAAACTAGATGGAGACAGGAAGAAAATGGTGTCCTAGTCTATGCTATTTTGCATTTTAGAATCTGAAAATAGATTTGCCTTTTATCTTGTACTCTTTAAATTAGAATGTTGTGAGGTTTTTATTTTAACTGGCATCTTTCTGTTTAATTCCTAAAGTTTGCCATTCAATCCAAGAGAGTCAGGGAAAAATATTTTTTGTGGGTTTTTATTTATTTTTATTTATTTTCTAAATACACATTCATATTACGAGACATGCTTTTACAGAATTAATTTCACTTTTTTTGTCAATGTGGAAAGTGAGCAAATTCGAAGTTTGTCTTTACCTATTATTAAAGAAAAAAATAAAGCAATAAGAATATCAAGAAGATGTACCTTGACATTTCAAGCAAAAAGCTTTGGATTTAAAAGCTGCTCAACTGTCCAGGAATGTCTTATCTCTTCATTTATGTCCATCCTGTGGGAAAACAAGCCCTGCAATTAGAAGTGTTACATATACAGGACCTTGCTGTAGGCAATGTATAGAATTGATTTGGTTCAGTGAAGAGAGCAAAGGCAAGAAGGTGAGATTCTTGTCCCATCTGATTCTGTTTGAATCGCGGCGGTGTCAGTGCAGAGTATTCAGTTGGTTAGCTGGCAGTTTGTCCTCTTGCCGCTGGTGTAAGGAAAATAATTCATCCTTAAGCATGTTGATGATTGGTTTGAGTGAGGCAGGAACACTTAGCTTTGCTGTTCTGTGAGCAATTTATAAAAATAAAATTAACAAGTAATTTTGTTCATTTAAATACTGCTCCTGTGTGTAGAGGAAAATTATCTTCCCATTTTGACACACATGCTACAGTTTCACATGCATGTATTCTGTTCAAAAATATTTTTGGAAAGAAAGAATTTTGTGCTGTTCAAGGTATGCTCCACAGTTTGTCTGATGACTGAGGCCCTTCAGAAACAATATTTGGGTATTAATTAGGCTACTCTCCTATGATAACAGAAGTAGAAGTGGGACAATTTATGGATAGCTGCATGAGAATCCTGTAGTGCATGACTTCAAGTAGCTTACTCTGCTAGTCATAATGTTCTCTGACTATTTTTTTGTGTCAATTTTGCCTTTTTTTTTGTGGATAGGCACATCTCCTGCTCTAGAAAATACTGTTTTGTGTATTTATTTAATTTATGACTGGCCTTTGTGTAAGTGTTGCAGACTTTGCTAGCTAATGGAGTGCAAAGGAAGGGAAGGATCAGATGGCAAAGAGTAGTACTTAAGGTTTCCTCTTCAGTTGGATGCTTTTGAAGAGATTAAGCTTCTGTCTTCAGAGAACTGACTTTTGGAGTCTAATCAATCCTTTGGCTGCATGGAGAGTTGAGAAGAAACAGTGGGCGCCTGCCTGGGGACAGAATCCTACAAAATCTCCTGCCAGAGACAGGGATGAAATGGATAATACAAATGACAAGTGCCTTGATGTCACTTGGAAATCGGGTAGCTCAGATGCTGGATAGTCAGGGTGTGTTCCCATAGTATAGTTCTGTTGGATGAGAGTGGAGAATGTCAGGAATCTTGGGTGGCATTTCCATTTCTCTTCTCACCACGGAGGGGGCTCAAGTGGTTAGAGCAGGGGGCAACAGGAAGTTAGGAGCCTTCTGTTTTACTTCTTGGTCTGCTGTGGCTGCTGTCTGTTATCTTGGCCAAGTCTGTTTTCCTCTTTCTGCCTGTCTCTCTTCCTGTGTAACATGATGCTAATGTCCCCTTGCTGGGTCTGGGTCCTTAGCTTTCAGCTGGGGTGGAGGGGCAGGCAGAGTCCAAAATCCTTGCCGCTCATGGGATCAGACTTTCCGTGACAGTGACAAGTGGTTTCAGCTGTATTTGCCTGGCTGCAGATGCACAGACTTTTTCTTTAACATATCCGCACACGGATAGAAATCCTGGAGGTGTTTTGGGGCAGTGAGCTTTTGCATGGAGGAGTGGGGGCAAGAGGTGTTTGAGAGGGACTTAAGCCTGTGGGAATGGCTAAAATTACCCCTTTCCCTTAAAAATAACAGAATTTGAGCAGATGCTTTGAAAGTGGGGAGAAGTTGCTCAAGTAAGAAAGGGAAGATTAAGGAACTGTCACAGCACTGGACTGAGCCAGTTCCCTATTGGAGTCTCTTTGGGTTTAATGTTCCTTTCGTGTGTGTGTGTGTGTCTGTCTGTCTTCGTTCTCCTCCATTCCTCTTCCCATCCCCCTTCTTCTTCCCCCCTGCGCCCAGCTAGGATGGAAGAATCTCATTTCAACTCTTCCCCGTACTTCTGGCCAGCGGTGCCCACCGTCTCGGGACAGGTAAGATCTTTGTCTTCCAACCTACTGCGCTGGCTTTGCTTCCTGTTAGAAGTTGACGTGCAATGAGTGTCTCTGTGACATTTCCCGCTCAGCCACCCGCTGGGGAGGAGCTGCGTTGCAGCATCTAAAAGCCTTTCTTCCTGCCTGTGTAGATCGAGAACACCATGTTCATCAACAAGATGAAGGAGCAGCTCCTGCCCGCTGAGAAGGGCTGCAGCCTGGCTCCTCCGCACTACCCCGCCTTGCTCACAGTGCCCACCTCTGTGGCTCTGCCTGCTGGTATCTCCATGGACTCAGACACCAAGCCGGAGCAGCTGACGCCGCACAGCCAAGCCCCTGTGACTCAGAACATCACTGTGGTACCAGTGCAGTCTGCTGGGCTCATGACAGCAGGTAGGAGGCCCCAAAGACTCCTGAGGCTCAAGGATGGGAGGAGGATGAGGGGATGGGGAGTCCTGAGGAACAGGGAACACAAGATTAATCCTAGCCATATTGATGGGGTGGACTCTCTTGGCCCTAGGCACCCTGTGAATCTGTAGACATTCTTGACACTTGGATGTTGACTTCCAGCAGTGGATCCTGGGGATATTTCGGGGGTGGGCAAGCTACTCTGTTTTTTCGGGTTGTGGTCAAAAGTAGATTAAATAAAGCTTGTCTCTTTGAGTTGGGAAGGTTGTAAATAATGAGATATGAAATTCCTGACTTCTTCTCTCACTCTCTGTTTGCAGGTCCTGGTCTGGTGATAACCTCCCCATCAGGTTCCCTGGTGACCACAGCCTCCTCTGCCCAAACCTTTCCCATCTCAGCCCCCATGATTGTCTCTGCGCTACCCCCTGGCTCCCAGGCAGCCCTTCAGGTGGTGCCTGATCTGTCCAAGAAAGGGACAACCACCCTCTCAGAAGGTGGTGGGGGTGGCGGGGGTGGGGGAGTTGCCCCCAAACCGCCCCGGGGACGCAAGAAGAAACGATTGCAGGAGTCGGGGCTGCCAGAGATGAGCGACCCCTTTGTGCTGTCAAACGAGGATGATGAGGACCAGCACAAGGATGGCAAGACATACAGGTGGGGAGCAGGGTTCAACCATGGCTGTAACATTGCATGGGGTTGGGGGTATATTCCACCCTTCAGAGGGTTATATGGGGAAGAAAAGAGCTCTGCCTCTTCCCTGCTGACTCCCCAAGTGTAGATGCTTTCAGCTGCACAATGAGTTCAGTTTTTTTCTCTAATTGGGAATGTTTGCAAGCCTGTGGGTTGTCCCAAAATGAGTGGACAACCTCGATTTCCTAAATACACGGATATTAATGTTACTAGGTCAATTAATGGCCAAGATCTTACGGGGCTGACCCATATCCTTGCTGTCGCAGCCAGGTACTGTGGCTGTTGCACTGCAGTTTGCAGTGCTGCCTCGTGTAGCCGGAGCACTTCAGCTATAGATGGGACCCCTCGTGTGCCTGGCTGCCCTTGAGTTAGGGCTCTAGGCTGCAATGCAACAGCACAGAGCAGGGAGCAGAGTGTGGTCGTGTGTCTGCTCCAGCGTAGCCCCATCTATTCTCATTCTATTTCAGCATACCCAACAAAACAGAAACAAAAAAGTGTATTTCTGAATTAGGTATAAGAGAATTTCTGAGCCTATAGGGTATCAGATAAGAGGGGGAAGAGTTCTGAGCCCTGAGGTTGGCTTTCTGACCTTGGAGGGATGTGGCCTGAGTTCAAAAGCGAGTTGTAGCAAACGGAAAAGTTAATTAAGGAGAAGTACTGGAGGGTAATGAGCATGGGTGTATTGAGAAGGTGGGAACTGGACAGAGCAGAGGAGTGCAAGGAAGGAAATGTCATGGACCATGTTGCTTGGGAAGTGGGAATGTGTATGGGTGATTTAGGGATGCGTGTTTCAGAGGGATAGTTAAGATCAAGAAGAGGCGAAGGAGTGGTGCAGCAATAAGCAGGTTCTTCTCATCTGCCCTTTGCACATAGGTAGAGTGAAACAGAAATAGGATTTTGTCCCCAGTTCTTCTCACTTCCCTACTGTATGCCCATTATCCCTTCTGAAAGTTTCCCCTTTGCCTCCCTGGATTTCTCTAGATTTCTTTCCTTTTTTTTTTCCCCCCCCTTTTTTTTTTCTTTTTTTCCCCCTCCTCCAGCTTTAAGTATGTTTTTTGGGATTCAATCCTAACAATATGGAGGCAGTTATATAGAATCAGTGCATCCATTGCAGGGGCTATATTATTTTTAACTATAGCATTTCAAAAATGTTTACGTTTTTAAATCAATACAGTTAAATGGGTACAAAACCAGACCTTGGATCAGCCTTTTTATTCCCTTCCCAGTGTCCCAGTTTTTCCCCTTTGAAAATATAATCAGCGTATAGCTTGCTATGTGTAATCCCACCATTTATTTTGGGCCCTAGCCACAATTCCACACTACTCAAGCTGCTTACAGTCTGGGTTGCTAATTAGGTTGTTAAATATGTATTTACAGGGGACACAATTGGCAGTGAACACTAGAATTAAAGCTGAACCAAGGCTTTAATTATAGCTCCTTGTTTACTTGCAAATTTGGAAAAGAAAATACCCAATGACCAGGTGGAGTGACTCAGCAGAAACTTCATGAACACCAATAGTCCGTGTAACAGCTCATGAAAAGGACTTTGGAAAAAAAGACAAGTGAGTTTATATGGAGGAACATGTAATCAGGAAGATTTCTTGTGCTCATGTCTAGTCCGAGTGTGGTACCTCTGCTGCCTCCTCCTGTCTCTGTCCCAGGCAGACCTTCCTGTGACCAGTGTTAGGGTGGCAGCGGGGAGAGGGGGGAGGAAGACAGCTCAGCTGAGATTTATTGAAGATCACCGAGTTGTACTTCTGCAGTATTTGGCAGGTGCCTTCTCTTTGGCTGATGCTTTCCATGCGCAAGTTCAAACTAAAAATAATTGTTGAAAATGAAAAGAAGATGCTGTCTCCTCTTGGAACTGTGGGAGAGGTGGCCTTTGCAAAACATAGTAAAATTGTTTTCCCATAATGAATAGACTTGCAAGTCAAGACTTAGAGGACTCCTGTTTTCTCAAAGGAAATTATGATCTAGGTAATTCCAGTTGCTGCAGTATGCAGACATATCTTAGCTAAATTAGGACTGTGGGATGAGATTCTTCTTTTGTCCCCTTCTCAGGATGGGGAAGGAGTTGCATGTTTGTTTGTATAATTTCACTCATTCGGGTGGTGAAACACTGAGGACAATCTAGTCAGATGCCTGGAAAGAGTTGGACTCTGTTGATCATCTCAATTGTGCCTTTTTATAGTTATTTTCTAATGTCTTTTGTCAAACTGAATATTGTTTGGTTTTATGCTTCTCTGTTAGCTCTGCGAGGTTTTTTTTCCAAGTGCCTGAGCACATATTTGCTACTGCTGTTGAAGCAGAGCAAGGCCTTGCAAGGGCAGCAGTGCAGGCAGAGAGCTCCAGAGGAAGTGGAGCACAAGGAGGATGAGGAGCTCTAGAATATTGCAGCTCTTGCTGTTGTATCAGCTCTAGAAGTGAACTTATAGCCTCTGTCAGTGATATAAGAATCTTTGTGGCTAGTTTTTTCTTTATAAGAAAAGGTGTGAGGCTTTTGCTAATGGTGCTGTAGTTTGCAGACCTTGGCCATCTAGCTTTAGAAATGGTCTGGCAGAGTCCTCGCACTTTGCTTTGTGCTCTTAAGTGAATGCTTACTCCTACTGAAGACAGCACCTAAGCCAGGTCTGTGAAGCATTTTCTTCATTAGGAAAATGATTTTTTTTCCTCATTTTACTCATAAGTAGTGTCATTTTAGTCTTGTCTGGACTCTTATGTCAGATGTTTAATCTCCCCTGACATCTTTGTAGAATTCAGTTTTTCTATGGAAAATAAGTGGTGTTTCTAGAAATATGCTGGCAGTGTGAAGTGTGAGTAGCTTCTCTTCAGAGCTTTAAAGGACAATGTGGAAGAGAAAAAATAACATAGATCCTGGTCTTGGTGTCTGTCGGTGCTTCTTGGAGTTTGTGGTATGATACAGTCAGCTGGCAGGGCTGAGGAGGTGGCTCAAGTTCAGAATGAGGCCAGATCAGTTCTTTGCCAAATAGTTCTGCAAATGGGTCGATCTTTTAGAAGAGCTTTTTTGCAGGTATTTTTTGGTTCCTAGTATTAAGCTTGTAAAGGCTCTGATGAATACCAGGTCATTGTCTAGAATGGTTTTGCAAGCTGCCCTTTTGAAGCTAGGGCACAAACAGCAAAAAATGGTTGCATTGAGAAAGGCCTTGCCATCATATTGTAACCAATTAGCTCTCCATTTGCTGTGTCCAGCTCTGTGTTCACGAGGCTGTGGAAATAACAGGGGATTTAGGTTTGGGAGACATGAGCAGCTAAGGGGTATGGAAAGCCTCTAGGGTGAATCTAGGGAGAAAAACAAAGGCACTGAAGCCAGTTGGCTTGATAATAAGCAGAGCTGAGCTTTGGGAAAGGAAGAAGCTGGGGGAGGCCCTCTTTAATCAGGAAATTAGGGAGGCAAGAGGAGCCGGTGGTAGAACAGATAGGCATGTTCTCAGGTTCTTCTCATTCTGAGCCTTTTTCTGCCTTGTGTGAAATTCAGCATTGCTGCTTGTTGAACTTTCAGTGGTTTAGAATAGATTTGAAGTCTGGTGAGTGTGAGTCTTGGAAGCTGCATGTATCTCTGGAAGTCTGACCAAAATTGGCTGTTGTTCGATTTGGAAAGTTACTAAGCATACTCAGAGATGCTTTTTAGTTCAATAGTTGAAATACATGAAGATTATTTCCTTTTTTTTATGCTAATTGAGGCTTGCATGGCTCTAGGCACTGGCCAGATTGTCCGTCTCCCCGGAACAACTGAATTCCCTGTACCCACTCGGACTTTCTGTATGGATTGGACTACATGTGCTTTCCGTGCCTCGAAAAGCGTCTTCCAAATTTGCCTTTCCTTCAGTCACAGCTACTGCCCATTTGCCTTCAGAAGGGATTTTCTGTGCCTGCTGTTGACCATTACCTCCTTCGTCCTTCACGGGCAGGATGATGGAGACGCTGCTTGGTTAAAAGGAAGTGGGGACACGCATGAGATATGGTAGTGATTGCAGCTGATGGTGTCTGGGAAGACTTGAAGTTTGGGTGGAGAGGAGAGGGGAGTGGGAAAGGAGGAGAGAGTAAAGACTAGGAATGCTTGTGTAAGGAGGCTAGGGAATGCAGCAGAGGATGTAATGGGGAGCCCATTTCTAAGGGGACGGATGGCAGAGATGTAATCTGTGGAAGGGCCTGAGAGGAGGAGGAATGAGAGAGATCTGCTAAGTGTGTGCAAGCAGCAGAGCGAGTGCAGGCGATCATGGGAGGTAGAGATAACACAGGCACAGGAAAGAAATGTTGAGGATTTGGGAGAAGGAAACGGGGAAAGAACCACTCAAGAAAAGGCTAGGGAGGATGGAGCACGTGGGCAAAGAGGGGCCAAGGAGGTGGTGCTTGAGACAGGGGATTGCAGCAGACTGGAAGGGTAGGGACAAAGTGGGGATTAAGTTTGGAAGCATCAGGCGGAAAGTTGGACCACATTCCCTCCAAAGCCTAGAAGCATTAAAGCCATATTCTTAAGTTTTTCCATATCTGCAATCAGCACAAAGATATGTGACATCCTCTGGCAAAGAGCCTCATCCCCCTCTAATGCTATGCTGAAAAAGATGACAAATTGCCATGGCTATCACTTATCCTCTTAGCTGCAGTGACAGAGGTTTGTGCAGTGGATCTTAAGATTGCTGATGACCAATATGGGTGTCAGTATGATGCCACATGTTGGACTTTCTGTTTGCTTTTTTTAACAAGTAGTTCCGTGAGCAGCGGAACTAATGAAGCCTGGTTTCCAGCGGCTCTCTCCTGTGTGGATTCTCTGATGTCTAATCAAGGGTGAGCTTATTAGCCTTTCCCTCAGCAGGGGGCTCTAATAGGGTCTCTCTTCTTTCCCCAGTTGCATATTTTATGAGACTTGTAGTGACTTTATCTTTAAAATCTTTTACGCCTTAATTGGATCCATTTGAAATTGGCTAATTGTTTCAAAATTTTAG